ACACACACATACATACATACATCTCACTCATCCTCTCCACTCCCTCCACCCTCCGCTTCACCCCCCCCCCCCCCCTCCACCTCAGATGCGGCGTCTACAGCCAACCCCGTCACTGCACACAGCGTCCACAGCGCCCACCACGCCCTCGCCCTCGCCCATCACCGGCAGCAATCAATCAATCCCAACCAACACTCCAACCAACACCCGGCCATTGTCTTTCCTCCCCGTCATCCCTCTCGTGATGTCTCTCTCTCAGCCTCGGGAACAAACAAACTATCCCCCCCTTGAGCCCTCCAACCGCGCATCTTGAAACGGGCGCGCCCACTCTCCTCACCTCACCTCACTCGCTGACTCTCTCACTCACTCACCCACCCACCCACTCACACCCATTATTAGAACACTCACAACAACAACCACACGCCCCAGCCCACCACCACCCACCCATCCACTCACCACTCACCCACTCACCCACTCACCCACCCACTCCACGGCGCCACCGCCGCGCGCGCCCCGGCGGGTTCCTTCTTCCACCCTTCCCTTCCTTCCCTTCCCTTCCCTCCACTTCTGCCCCCATGCGCCAACCCAGGCACGGTAACTATTGCCGCGGCAACCCATGACGTGCCCTCCTCCTTCTTTCCTCCTCTCCCCCATCCCCTCCCCCCTGCCCACTGCCCTCCCTCCCTCCCTCCCTCCCTCCCTCCCTCTGGTCCTTCCTCCTCGCGCCAAGCCCGCTAGCCGAGCGAATCCCGGCGGCCCCGGCTGGACGCCCCCTCCCCCCCCCCCGCGGGAGATCGACACGTTGCTGCCACTCACCACACCACGTCCGGGGTCTGGGTCTGAGAGGGGGGGCTGGAGCGCTCTCTCTCTCTGTCTGCATGCGAGGTGTGAGATGGGTGCGAAGTGGGAGTGGAAGGGGGGGGGCGGGAGGGAGGGGGGAGCGGTGATTGGGTGGGTTTGGGAATTGGCCCGCCGGTGCCCGGGGCGCAGGTAGTGTACTGTAGTGTACTGTAGTGTAGTGTAGTGTAGTGTACTCTAGGTAGGTGGGTGTGCGCGTGCTGGAACACGCCCTCCACCCTCTCCTGCGGATCCGATCGGCCATCCAGCTGGAGGGTGGTTGTGGCGTGGTTCGATATCCGTCCTGCCCTGCGCCCCCGGCGTGCTGTAGGGATCGCCGGCCATAGTGATGAGTGCACGCCCATCCCATCCATCCCATTCCCGTCCTATCCCACGCCCATCCCCCAGCTGTCCCACCCCAGCGGGCCAGAGAGCTCGCGCCCGACCGACCGAGTGTGCTTCTCTGCTCTGCCTGCCCTATATCTACCTGCTATGCCTACATGTACCTATACCTATGTAGCTAGCTAGCCACCCAGTCGGCCAGTCGCTTGTGTCTACTCGGGCCAACCCAGTCCCGTGATGTACTGGAGTAGAGTAGAGTAGAGTAGAGTAGAGTAGAGTAGAGTACCGATATCACATCTACATACACCCACCTCTCCACACCCGCAACCGCCTGTAGCTACAAGCACAAGTAGGTATACGCACGTACGTCCATGGGACGGGTACGCATCGGCCCTGGCGGCCCTGTTGCTATATACTATACTGGCGCCCCTCCCCCCCCCCAACCCAACCCAACCCAACCTGATAACTATTCTATATGTATGTACATCTGGCCGCCCAGTCTCTCCAGCTGCCAGCCCGTGCCGGTGATGTGCGTCCCCTCCCCCCCCCCCCCCTCCCCCGCGCGCATCGTGTTGCAAGTCCCAGGTCATACACGGCTCCCGTCATACTGTGCTATAAATAAAATGGACGCAAACCAAAGCGGCCGCTATGGGCTGGCTGGCTGGTGGCTGGCGGACCCCTGTCGTCGGCGGCCCGGTGCGCGCGCGCGGCACACTGGCCTGGCTGGCTGGCTGGCTGGTGGGTGGGTGGTAACTGCATACATACATACATACATACATACATACATACATACATACTGCCTTCCTCCACAGAAACCCATTTGCTGTCTCGTATATTTTGGTATATCCGCTATCTCGTACGGCTTGGGTTCACAGAATGCGCTAACGACATGGCCAGGTGCGACTGTATGTACATACATGTAGGTACTGGGTAAACGCGGAGGGTCGTTTGCGAATGTGAAAGATGATACATATACATGCACTCTATATATACAGGGAAACCTAAAATATCATAACTCCACGCTCTCGAAACCCCCACCCGGCCCTACCAAACCCCCAGCGTTCGGGGGGAACGGGGCCTGTGGTTTTGCTCCATCCCTACTATAGTATACTTCCAGCAGAACTCGGCTACCATGGGGGGGTGGAATTATGGTTCGAACGCAATATCAGTTTCGAGCGTACCAAGAGCACCCCCCCCCCTTCCTAAAACCAATCCCTCGCCCGTATCCCCCATATCCCCACCATCTCCACCATCCCCCACACCCCCACACCCCAAGTACTCCCCAAACTCCACCACCCACTCCGACCGCCACTGCCACACCCACCGCACAAAACCGAGTGACACATCATGACGCACCCACCCTCCAATCTTGGAGCCTCCACACGTCCCCCCCCATCCCCCATAATAGAAAGCATATGGCCGCACCATGCAATGAAGACAGTACAGTGTGACCTAGCTATGTAGCCAGTACTCACCACGCATCCACCACCCCCAGTAGCAATGTTTAATCAACATTACCTGCCTGCCTGCCGTTCTAGCCCTCCCCCCCCCTACATAACCAGGACAGTACGATGTCCATACTGCGGCGCAACCCTCTTTCTCTCTCTCTTGCAAACCGGGCTGGGTGCGCAATTGATTCTATCCCCGGCGTGCGCGCGGCAAGGCTGCAACTCTCTCTCTCTCTCTTTGGCCAGCCCTCTTTCTCTCTTCGTGGATCGACCTCTATCGGTGCGGCTCTCGCTCTGCGGTGCACGGTGGGGAATATATGTTATATATATATGCGTGTGCGCGTGCGTGTGTGTGTGCTGGCCTCCTCCCCTTCATCGATAAGGACTACAAAAGAAAGGGAGCTGTGTACCTATGGTTGCAGCGTGGTTTGGTCGTTGTGGGTTAGGGTTTCTTTTTTTCTTCCTCTTATATACTCACGCATTCATTAAATGGTGTGGGATTTGGTTACAACGACATCCGACAATTTAGTGAACGCGCGAGTATGTGTGGGTTTTTTTATTATTTCAATTCTATCTTTGATCTTGCGGATAATTAAATGGAAATTTCTTTATGAGACATTCAGATACGTATACAATACAATAAAGTAAGGTACAGAGTATATAGTAAGATATCATCCTCCCACCCCCACTTGTCACTATGCAGCCCCCCCCCACCACCCTCAATTACGAATGGTTCAACTCTCAATTAACACTACCCCAATCAGCCACTAATCATCCCGACAAAGAAGGAACACCGCACCGCACCGACGACGACAAATTCGACCCTACCCTACCTACCTACCTCCCCACATACCACCGCACCACTCACCTCACCGCCGTCCAATCCTGCGCATACAGGCTCCCGATCCTCTTACACGGCCGATCCACCAAATTGATCCTATTCCCAAACGGATCCCTAAACAGCGCCGCCTTGCCAAACTTCTCCTGGCGCGGCTCCTCGTCCTCAAACTCGATGCCCATGCCCTTCATCTTGCCAAACGCCTCGTCAAAGTTGTCCACCTCCAGAAACATAAACACCGCGTCGCCGGCCTGGTTGCCGACGGCGCGCCGGTCGCGCTTGGTCACGGCCTTCTGCACGAGAAGGCCCATCTGCGGCGCGAGCTGGCACAGCTTGGGCGGCGTGAGCACGATGAAGCGCCGCGACGGGTCGTCGTCGTGCGTGCTGTCCTCCTGGATCGTGAAGTTGAGCAGGCCGGCGTAGAAGGAGAGCGCGGGTGCGTACTCGGGGCACAGGAGCGTCACGAGCGAGACGTGCTGCGTGGGCGTGAAGGGGCTGGTCTTGGTCATGCCCATGGCTGCTGTTTGGGTTTTGGGTTTTGGTTTTTGGTTTTTGGTTTTTGGGTTTTGGGTTTTGGGTTTTGGGTTTTGGTTGTTTTACTTATTCCTTTTCAATCCGTGTTGCGATTCGATATATATATATCTCGAAAGAGACTCAAAGACGTCGTAGTACCACTACTTGGCTATGATGATGATGCTGATGATGGTGCGTATATGAGCAGAAGGTGTAGGTGTAGGTGTAGGTGTAGCTTTAGCGCAACGGGCGAGGAACGCTACAGCTCTTTTAACCACAACTCCTTCCCCCGCCAGAAACTGGTTTTGTTTCGCGCTGATCATGAAGCTGTGACGTAAATCTCGCTGGTGATGATGTTGATCCGGCCAGGATCGATCCCTGTTGCCAAACAATCAATTCGCCCAATAGATGTGCGTGGGGAGGGCCAAACAAGAAGTATCTAGTACCTACCCACCTGGAAGAAAAAGGACAAGGTCAAAAACAAGAAAAGTCCGTTTGTTAGAGTTCGTCGTTGTTGTTGACAGCGGGTTGGTAGGTAGAGAGTAAGTAGTACGGTCTTTGTCTTGATCAGTGCGCGCGCGCGCGTACTATAAATAGTAGCGTTTACTACTCTTGGTAAAACCGAGTGATCGCAAGAGTTACTAACCCTAACCCACATCAAACACTCATGGACGGACAATTGCGCGTCGGGCCTGAATGGCGTGTCTAACGGTCCTGGGACGCTCGCGGGAGAGATACATGTATTGTATCAAAGGTTTCTCTCTAACTGATTGAACTATCCGCGAGTAGTGGTCACTTGGGACGGTAGTAATAACAACTCTACACTCGAACGATGTACGTTTCTGGCACTATAAATGACTCTCACAATTGGACAGTTATAGCAGCTCATAAATGCTCGAAACATGAAGATCTAAAACCCTAGCTAACCCAACAAAAACTTAGCCCAGTACACCACCAAGAGCCCCCTCCCCCCCCCCCCCTCCCCTCCGGCTTCCCCTCAAAAATAAATAAAAAAATTTAAATGACGCCTCGGTGGGGATTTGAACCCCAGTCTCCTCCCTCACAACAGTGTCACCTACAGGCTGACTTTTGGGAGGTATGCTAACCGACTACACTACCGTGGCTTGTCGATAGCTTTTGGGAAGTGAATTATGAACTACGAAAGGCGGGATGCGGGAAGATGTAATCTCGCTACTACGTACTCAGGAGATCTAGAGCGGGTCTAATCTGCATGCCAGGGTCCGGTGAGTCCCTGATCTTTCCCGCTTGGATGCAAGTTGCGGGCAGCATTCCCTGCCACCCTATAACAATCGTATCAATCCACACCGCTCTCATCCCCACTCCGCTCATCCCCGCTCCGCTCATCCCACTTCGCTCTCACACCTATAACAAAAGCCCCCAAAACACACCATCGTCCCCATCTATTCTCCGAGACTAGCTTGTCCGACTCCACACAGCGCAACACACCACCATCTGCATGAAATTAATGAATTAAACAAATACAACACCACCAGAGCTAATCCCGCTCTCTGCAGCACGCATCGGCACTGACAACCACTCCGAATCCTTCCCTCCCTACTGTAGCCACTCAAAGATGTCTGTGGGGGGTATCCAACACGTCGCACACAACGGTCCGCCATGATAGGTGGGATGTGGGCTTATCTACGTGTACGCCAACGTTCCAGCTTTGGGGTTTGGGGTATACCAGGCCGGTTATGGAGAGGCTTTTGTGGTAAATCATACGTGAGGACCCCCTCTGTATGGCCATGATAAATTACTGGGTATTGATATTATAAGAGGCCACTATTGCAACCCCCGACTTCGCTTTAGGACTGATAAGCTCGCGTGAGAATGGGCATCTCTTAAACCATTGAATCTCTAGAGACGAGATCAAATAGCCTAGGCTCAATATTTGTGAGATACATCACAATCATTTACTCAAATCGATCCCGCACCGATAAGATCATAAGTCATCATGGCTACATACCTTACACGCGGCATTGCGTATGCGCGCCTAGCCCAACTCACAGCTCCTCACTCGGTATCATCTTGAAACACAGATGATGGACACATTGCGACCGTCTTCCTCTTTCCCAATAAAGACACCAGAGCGGTCAATTCCAAACAATTGTATAAGGTCACCATCACGAAACCACCTTTGAACAATGACCAAGAGAAATCCCGGCCGGGACCAAGTCACTACATGTACCTTCCCCTAGGTCAATGATAGTGGCCACTTCCTCTCAGGAAACAATGCAACTAAGAGTCAAAAAATGAACAAGTTCAACACTATCCGTTCCACTACCAAGAAATATTGGCCTCGTGTTTCATGCTCTCGGCAACCCTGGCATCATGAGTTCTGGTCCAACATTCCAGTTGTTCACCGGCCGGAGAAACCCAAAAATACAGAATATAGAAACGCGACAACTTAACGTCCCGCAAGGCATCTTTTCTTCCAAGGCCGAGGTTTCTGATGACAATTCGGCACATTGGAAAAACATCTAGGTAATTATTTCTAATGGGAGCTTATGACCCATATCCGTCAATGTCTCTGTTTCCCCGGAAACTCGCGGGAACAAAGGCTATGCTGTCTTTCCGAGAATTTTCTTGACTCACGTCGACGTCAATATGTTTATCAAAACGCCGAGAGATACCTGATGGCCTCTACAGGAGGAGCGTGGCTGCTAGAAACAGGGCGGATGGATCTGCAGAACACCCGCTGCAGGTAGATCCCTGCGCATGAACGGAAGTTATATACAAATGACCCAAAAATAACTATTCCGAGCTTTGTAGAAACATTTAGAAAAAGTACACAGAAAAAGACGGATCAAGCCGAAGACACTTTACTCAAGCTCTCTCCAAGTCACTATTTGTGACTCACCCAGGGACACCGGAGTACTTAGCATGAAGTCGCAATAAGGTAAACGTGGCAGTATAGTAGGAACCGCGGTTCCGCTCCCTGTCCCCTGCGGATTTGCATCCCAGGTAACTTTTACTCTCGGTCGATCCCCCCCCCCCCCTCCCCCACAAATTTAAAGCAACTAACAGGAGCGAAAAAAACGTCCGCTTAACAAGCGGCGCCAAGTGTCTTATCAGATCTAAACGCTAGCCCATTATGGCATTGTTACTTGGGAAGCGGACATACATGTATGTACTTGTAAGGCGCAATATCTTTAGACGAGTACTGGGTCAACTCTACATTCCATCTTATTCCGACAAAAGCAGATCAGTTCATGGACTATTGATAGTCGACGTTGCATTAGCCCGCTTCGGAAACATAAACAAATTATGTTTCAAGTACTAGTTGGCTATACGGAGCAACCGGGGGTAAAATAGTAGTTTTTTTCTTCAGGAATTTACAATTAGTGAGTGTGGCTCACAGTATCCCTAAATAGCTTCCATGAATCCAATCAGGGCATATATTCCCCCCAAACCTATAAGATATGTGCCTGTAGGGGCCCTCACCAAGTCATCCTTCGCACAGCCCAGGCCTAACGAGTGATATTCTGTGATTCTCCCCACGTCGCCGCTAGAACCTCACCCAACGTAGGACCTTTTATTGAGCCTCCATTCCACGTGTGAAAGATGCATCGACCTCTCGTGATCGGGCCGGAGCCTCATCACCACAACCACAGCTCGACCCTCAATTCAAACGGTCATTAAACATGGCGAAAATGCCAAGAATTGCGTGCGGCTCCCTGATCCCCGGCCTGGGCCCTGCTGATTAGTGACCGGCTACATGTAGGATCGACTGGTTGCAAAAATAGATTGAGCACATACATGTTTGGTAGGATCAATATTAATCAGAACCCTAAACCACGGACGGCCGGGTGATTTTTATTTTTTCCTGGGCCGATCATTGCAATTAGTAGCTACGTAGGAGAATTTACTTACATAGTAGCCTAATGGTTTTCATTTCAGATGTCTGAGCGCTCATGCAAGAAAGTAGGTACATGATGATCGTGAGATCACTGCCACTGCGTGCGCAACAATATTAATACATATATGTGCACTCACTCGTTAATTAAAAGGTCGGAAGTCTGCAACCAAATCCCCACACAAAATTCCGGGTTTTCAATCAACGCACGAGTATATGCGCACATGAAATATCGACTAGCTAGAAGTCGGATCAAAATAAAATGAGATTTGCTTAATTTAGGATAAACATAATATTTATAAAAGTATAAAATGAAAAATGAAAAATGAAAAAAAGAGAGAAAAAAAGAAATACTTCCGGCCTATCTTTGCGATTTTGGTATCATGCCCGAAGCCACGGTTGATATCCGGGCCCCGCACTTTGCATGCGTAGATTTATGTAGGTAGAGCATATGTACATGTAGGTATGTGCGTATGTGCCGGCGCAGACGGTACCTGCAGCGGTTGCCTTAAGGCTACCATTAATCAATTAAGCTACTTGCTACTTTTCTGCTAGCTGCTGCTGGAGGAAGATCATTGACATATTGCGTGGTACAAATTTAATCGAACCCATTGCATTGTAACGTACCACAACTCAGCTAGGTGGCGAATTCCCCTCCAAAATCACGGCCTAGGGACATTTGACGAATGGCAAGCTTCCGGGCCCGCCACTACAATCACAACCCCTGGTTCGCGCAAAGGTGTGCGGAGCGATTGCCTAATCGCCGTCGAGCATGAGGGCCCCGATGCTTCTTTCCTTGTACTTTTCAATACGATGTGTTTGAAATATCCCATCAAACCTTGAGGAATGTGATGGCTCGGTGGGGCCCCAGGGGGGTATTTGTAGGCATAAATGTAACTGAAACTTGCACTTGATGGTGTATTTGCCATTTATGCGATGGCATTGATTAGGATTTGTTCCCTTTTGATCACGGGATATAATGCGCCAGATAAGAAGCGGGAATATTAATAGACCCCTTGGGCAACTGTTGGAGTAATTGATTGATAATAATGAGTGGAAAAGGAAAGCCCGAGAGATACGGGCGGTATAACTCGGAGGAGTCCGGCTCCCCGCCCACGGAGCATATTTTAGGCCTTCTATGGAGCGCAGCATATTAGAAAGTGTCATAACATAGCATAGAAGATGTAAATAAAAGCCAGGCTCACAAAAATAGAATTGTACTACACGAGCATACAAGGTCAAGTAAACATTTTTGTGGTCCCAGGAAACATATCTCTGGTACCTACCCTAGGTAACTTTCCACTCAGCTGGGTCCGATCAAGTCCCATTGTGAAGTATCCCTCCGCCCCCCCTTTCTCTCCAATTCCCCTGCCCCATTCTATTCCCGAGTAAATAGGTACATCACTTACAAACATTAGGGTAGCCGGATTTCGTTTCGTTTCGTTTCGCCAATCGATACTGACTGAATAATTATATAACCCAGTAAGCACCCTGTTGATCAAACGCTGTATATGCTACCGAGCCTAAGGCCAAGTTACCAACGTCACGGGGAGGTTTGAACGCCCTCGTCTTATGATCACTGTCACGTCAGTAGATAAGGATAAACCAATGAAATCTTTTAACCTCTATGCTGCGGTTATATTACTGATCTTCAGCAATACAGAGGATCAGTTGTCACTTACGTAAATTATCGTGTAGTATCAATAGGCAGATTCTCATCCATCGTAGTCATAGAATAGCATTCCAGGATGCAGGTCACGGTACACGATTGTATACCAACAGTCCACTAGATACCGATAAAGGATAGAGAGAAGCACCTAAACATAATTCGGCTTTCTCTCCCGGCCCGTATAATGCCCAGGGGAATGCGGAGAACAGAGCTTACGGAATTATAATAATCAAGATATACTCATATCCTGCATCATGATTCAGCCGCAGGAGAGAGGAAATAAACAGGATCGTCTCATTTATGGTGCAGTAGTACAGTGCAGGAGATTGTTGATTGTATTTCGGTCTTATCGTATCATGCAGAGTGAGGAATCCGACTAGCTAGCTAAGGACGGGAATCTAACCGTCAACAGTAAAGAGATCTTGCCCCGATCCGTCAGGACCGGGAAGCTGTCGCCGTCATATCGTTGGATTCCTACACTTGTGTCAAAAAATACCAAGTGCAATTTTTCCGACGCACAGGCGCAGCCACAGTCAGTCACAGATCTTCCCGCCAGGAAGGGAAGCAAGATCTTAGTA